TAATCGGCCCTCTTTCCTCTGGATTGATGAGGATTTGTTACTGATTGCAGGGGCATGTAATGCAGCTTCTTGATTGTTTTTGTTTTCCTCCTCAACCTCATCCTCTATTTGGATGTGAGCTTACATAGTAACCTTAAAAATTTTAAAGTCTTTTCTTTTTCCTATTTTCTCATTTTCCTCCTCCCGTCCCTACCTTCCACTGGACTACTGTTCACTGCATATGTTTGTATAGCTTATGTGGCTCTGCCTAGAGTTCAGGGTGCCTTTTCATAGGGATTTAAATTCTCACTATTATCAGGCAAAAGATGCAGCTGAGGCATTGTCACAGATATTGTTAAGTCCCACCTGGCTGGAAGGCTGAATCTTAGAGCGGTGGGGAGGCCTTGGATAAGATAGGACTTACAAGACTGAAAAGAAGTCTTTGTTTAACCAATGCCAGAAAATCAAACCTTGCAAAGACTAAACTACATATATTGATGTAATTGGCACATATTTTGAATGTTCAGTAGTGTTTCAGGTAGCCGAGTATCCCTGTGCAGAGAAAGAAATGCTAGTGTAGCTTCTTCCAAAGAATGTGTTTCTCCTGCCTGATTAACTGATAGCAGTGCCTCGTCGAAACACTGGCAAAACTGAGTAGGTTGTTAGCAGGGAAGAACTATATTTTTGACAGCTTCCATCGTAATGCTCCTGGTTATGCTGGTTTTCAAAGCTGGCTGTCCTGCAGATGTCAGCAACCAGATGCTGACAGTCCCCCTGCTTGCTGGGAAACCTGCCACTCAGTTGCTGGTTTGCTTTTTTCCTGAGGCTTCAAGTCACAAGTTCTTTCTCAACTTTCTGCCTTTTCCTTGTCTTTGCTTCTGGTGCAAGAGAGCAGAATCTTGCCTGTTGTTTCTGTTTGAGATAGCAGATCATAGGGCAGATGGGTAAAATACCCTTAGTATGGCACTCAGTCAGGCTTCAGCTTTGTGCACTTATCAGGGGAACTCGCAGCGCTTCCTGGCAGTTTTTGAAAAGTACAAGCTACCGAACATAATATTAGTTGTGCTAATTAACCCTCCTGGCGGTTTGGTCAGTGTTGACAGCTTCCTTCGTGTTGTCTTTGTCACTCCCTGCAGTTCATGCTCACGCTGTGTCTCCAGTTCCCTTCCTGCCAGGGTCTCTTCCTCCTCTGTGGCTGAGCCGATGCCTTTGTTGTGGTTGCCGTATTTAAATTTCTGTCCATTTTGAGTTGGTAATATTCGGAATATTTTGTTGAGGATGGCAATCTGACGAACTCAGGTGACTTGTCCATACAGTCTATACTTTCCCATAGATATCAAAAAGTCCCCGGTGGCAACTAGTCAGCAAGTGGCATTTTACTTTTAAAGAAGTAGGATAGTGGTTACCTAAAAAAAATTAATAATAAAAAATTCATACTAATTGCTAATGAAATGGCGGTTTAAGTAGTGTGCCCACAGAAAGCTTTTAAGGGTTTGGTATAGGGAGATCCTTATTACCTTGGGCTGAGAGACAAGCTTCTGTGAAAAAATGTTCAAAAACAAGGTACATGTTACATTTGCCGAATACCAGCTAGACAAAAAAGTAGTTTGATGTACATTAGAGTAATTTAAGTGAGAATTGCACTCCTTTCAGTTGTATGGGAACTGCCCATTACAAAGAGTTACTGTCTCATCATTCATAAATACATTTTTGATATCACTTTTCTCTAAAGTGAGCCACTCTTAATAGGAATGTCAGCTATTTATTAGTGCTCTCCAGTGCTGATAGTCTCTGGGTTTGTGCCCTCCCCTCAACATCAGTGACTCAGACAAGTCTGCCTCTGTGAGCTTCTAACTCATATGGGTTCCTTCAGATACTTGTAAGAAAGTCGGCTCTGAGCATTGAATGAGGTCGAACAGTAAAGCTTTGAAAGGGCAGTGGCACAGAGAATCGCTGCTGTGGGTGGTGGGGGGGCTGGCACACCATTCGCTTGAAGTAGAAATTGGTATCATGCTTTTATATAAGAAATAGTGGCTAAAAAATCCTATTGAGGTAGTTTCCGCAGGAGATACTGTTTTCAGAGTGCCAACTTGTGAGTGTTGCCTTCGTTGAAAAGCAGAATAGTTTTCTAAGAGCTCTGTGCTGGGGATTTTTGAGTGCATGTGTTCACTAGTATTTTGTACTGGTTAAAATGAGTAAAACTGCTCAGAAATTGAGGTTGCTAGGTGAATCTAGCAGTGTAGTATTTAGCAGGGGAATAAGGCTTCTCTCATTCTCTTAATGTTGCTATATGACATGCTAAGAAACTCCGAGAAGTATAAACTTTGAAAATTCTTAATCTATTTTTTAATGTGTAAATTCATTGAGATTCCAGTGCTAACTAAAATGCATACATTGACAGGAAAACACCAAACCCACATAAATTTCTCCTTTAATTTTAAAGGCTACTGAGATGCAAATCTGGTTTTCCTTCTGGTACCTGAGGTCCAGACAGGTGTTTTTGCTCAGTTGTGCCTGACACTGCTATTCAAGAAATAATGGACATTTCCTGCCCAAAGAACTTAAAATCCAAAATGGATACAAAATAAAAGGAGGAATTGTAACTTGCAAGAATGTTATAGTGAGCTATGTTATGACAACCAAAATCATGTTATTCTTTAAAAAATGGAAACAAAACAAAGCCAAGGAACACCACTTCCTGCAAAGGGAGTGCTTAGCTAACAGAAAGAGAGGACACTGAAGGAAAACTGTGAGGATGTAAGAGAGAGGCACAGAGAGTCTGAGGCTGAAGAGAAAAGGCTCAGCCCTGTACCCACCAGTCAGCACAAACTGGGCGAAAGTCGGCCCAACCAGGAGAAATAGAGATGGCATCGGTGCTGCTGTCACTTCTGCCACATACTTGGAGCTCAGCAGATGACGGTAACATCAGTCTGTGATCTGCTGCACACCCGGTGTGGTGCTGGGGCCAGGCTCTGTGAAGCAAGGGGCTGGCACACTTTCACTCCCCTGTTTAGGCACGTCCCTGTGATTCTGCAGCCTGCTGGAAGCAGCTCCAGCAGCCTCCTCTTTGCAGGTTTTCCTTAAAGGCCACCTCAATTTGAGCATCTCTAGCCTGGGCTGGGTGGGGGCTGCTGGTCTGGACAGTCCTGGGACTGGAGGAGTGGTGTGGGGCGGGGAAGCAGAGTGCAGGGCGTTGATTTTGCCGGCTCTAGAAGGCTGAGATGGGGCAGCTCTGCTGCAGCCGCTTCTGACTTGTGCAGCGGTAGCAGACGTTCACGTTAGCAGAAACTCTCCTGTTTTATGTCAAGTGTGGGTGCACGATACAGCTCCCATTGCCAGCCCACTGCAGGAGGGGTTCCTGTCAACCTTGTTGTGTTTGTTTTGTGTTTTTGCAGGTTGTGGGCTGCTCATTGCAGAAAGATACAGCTGAAAAAGGGTTAGCATCTTTCCATTCAATTTATGTCCTCAACTTTTCCGATCCTACGATTGCTTTTTCATTTTGTTGTTGTTCTTTTTTTTTGGGGGGGGGGGGATTTGGGTTGTTTGTTGTTGTTTTTTTGGTTTTTTTTAATGTTAAGCCATTATATACGTTCCATGGGGAGCTAGAGATTATAGGAGGAATAAAAAGAAAAAAGTAAGCTCCCATTACAGATAATTGTAGGGACCAAAGGTCCTGTTTGGTTCATGCAACTGAAGAGCTCTGTATAATTCAATGAAAAGGAAAGGAGGCTGAATTTACTGTCTTTTCAGTGTGGCCTCGTTGAAGTACAGATAAAAATGGTATTAACAATAGGAGCTGTGGTAAAAAGCAGCATTTGGTTTTTAAAAACAACTTATTTTAGAAATAGTTATCTGAAAATTTATTGTGAGTGGTTGGGACTTCTAGCAACATAAATAATAGCTCGGTTTGTCTCTCCTTTTGATTGCTGATTGCTAACTTGAGCATTTTTACATGCAAACCCAACACAATCTCAGAAGTATTAACAGCAAATATAATTTATATAGCACCAAATTCTCCTAGCTGCTCCATACATAAAGATCTGCACTTGTCACCCACGGTCCTTCCTTGCTTGTAAGACGTTAGCGTTGTCTGTATTGGAAAATTGACTTGGGAAAGCACAGTGGTATAATGACCAGGTACTCTTTTGCCAGTGTATCTGTTTCCAAGTTGACTGTTGCTTCAGAGTAACAATTACTTAGGGTATTTGAGCAAATTTACCTTGCTGAATAACATCAGTATGACCCTAGCACATGTTCACACAGGGAATTATACCATTGTAGTTTCGTTCTTCAGTTTTCCACAGTAGAAAGTTTTCAGCTCGGAATATTTGAAGCAGCTAAATAATGGGAAGAATGAAGCGCGCTAGGAAGCGGGCAGCCAACGGTGACAAACACCTAAATAACATCACCCTTCTGGTTTGGTGTCTCTTTATTAACCGACTGATCATAGGTTTGGGGGTTTTTCTGTTCATTTTTGGGGTTTTCCTAATTAAGTGACTAAAAGGGAATTTCTACTTTAAAGAGTGAAGGGAACTGCATGTTAGTTGGTTGCACCTTTCAACTTTACAAAATGTTGCTATTTTTATTCAGATGGGTCATCGAATCATGTTTACAACTATCAGCCGTGCGATCATCCACGTCAGCCTTGTGACAGCTCATGTCCATGTGTAATTGCTCAAAACTTCTGTGAGAAGTTTTGTCAGTGCAGCTCAGAATGTGAGTAAAGCCTTTAAAAGCTCTCTATAGCTTTCTTTTGCTGTCCCAGCGTGTAACTGTACCGGCAGTCTGTCCAACTGTGTTTGCCAGAGCAGCAAATTGTGTCAAACGGCGTAAGAAGGTAGCACCTTTTAACTGGCCACTGAATGAAGTCAAAACTAGTCTTAAGACTTAAAAGGAAGTAATTTGAAGGAAGACTTGAGGAAGATTAAAGTAAAATCAAGGAAGGCAAGAATTTACAGTACTTCCAAATGTCCTGTACAGATTTCAATGGCTCCGATTGAGGTTTCTTTAATATTCTGATTTGCTATAATCTGCACTGTCTTAATTTTACAATGTACTTTTTTCATGCTTGCCCTGTTTGTTTTCCATACATTCCCTTTGTAGGCCAAAACCGCTTTCCCGGATGCCGCTGTAAAGCACAATGCAACACTAAGCAGTGTCCGTGTTACCTAGCTGTACGCGAATGCGATCCCGACCTCTGTTTAACGTGCGGAGCAGCCGACCACTGGGACAGCAAAAATGTTTCTTGCAAGAACTGCAGCATCCAGAGAGGATCCAAAAAGGTATGTAGATGGTTATACAGCTATGTGCCTTGGTGTTGAGGTGTTTTTGTGTGTTCCTGCCAGAGAATGGAATTTCTTTGTCTTTGTGATGGAAATGAACAACAACAACAACAAACGCAAAAAGGGAGGAAGCTGTCGCTTGTGTTAGCTTGCTGATGCACTGCTGTTAAGCCCTGTGTACAGTTTGTCATGTACCAATTAGTTAATGGTTTCTGTGTAGCACTGCAGTAGAGTATCTCCTTTCCCCATTCAGGCTTTGCTTGTAATTTGCTCATAGGCTGCTGTTTTGAAGTGGTAGCTCCTCAGCCTTTCCCTAGATCAGCGTAAGGAAGTTTGGCTCAGACCAATACTGGTTACTTCTTTCTTCAGTTGTGGATTCTACAGCACAAACTTTACAGTCCACCAAAGATGTCTCAAGAGCCTGTCCAGCTCTGTTATGTAAATAAATTAACCAACCAACCAAGCTTTATTTCTATTCTTCTCACAAACTGGTTCAGTCGAATACTGAGCTGATCAGTAGTGGGCTCTTGTCTGCAGACCTTTCCAGTTTGAAGTCCTTACTGTATATGTTTTTATGTAACACCTCATGTCAAGATTAAACTAAGATTTGTGTTGGTTTTTAAGTACTTCATATGTCTTTTATTTCACATCTGACTTCTGATCCACAAGGTATAATTTTGGTGTGCACACCAAACCGCGTTTGTCTCCTCTCCTGGAGCCCCAGCATACCTTTCATTAAGATACAATTAAAACAAAAACCCAAAACAAAAAACCTAATCCAGGCCATGCCTGTCTAAACTTCTTGGATTTCTCTCCCACAGCACTTGCTATTGGCACCTTCAGATGTGGCAGGCTGGGGAATTTTCATCAAAGATCCTGTACAGAAGAATGAATTCATCTCTGAATACTGTGGCGAGGTAAGGATGGAGCACACTGGGTGTGTGGAAGTGTAATTGGTGAAGTTGTGTGTTGGATAAGGACCAAGAGATTGTCTCTAACTTGGTATCACAGCCTGTAGGTAGGAAAATGTGACTGACTCGGTGTACAGCAACTGCTGTCAGAGGCTCCAAACCCAGGAACTTTACATGAAAAATTTGTCATAGGCTCTCGTTAGAATGAGAGGCTGGAGTGTCATTTTTCTCTTTAGATGCAGTTTCAATTCAGATGTGCCTGGGATTCTGTGCAAAATCATTTAGCACAGTACTAAAACCCAGTAGGTGCTTTCCCTAAATTATATTCTATAGCAATAAGAAAACTCTGAATCAGGAATGCAGTCTTGATTTGGAGATGAGGAGCCATTCTTGCTTTCCTTCTGCTTTGAAAGAACTTATGCTAAGAGCAAACCATGGTTGTCTGGTAAGTGCAGAATCCTTACTGAAAACAGCAGTGTATATTTAGGAATATTTTCAGACCTGGAAAATAAAAACTCCACCCTTCTTTAAGAATGTCTGAGTTTTTTGATGTTAAGCTGCTGCGGTTACAAAAGAGGAGAGGAAGTCTTTTACAAGTACTGTTTCTTTCAGATTATTTCTCAGGATGAGGCAGACAGAAGAGGAAAAGTATACGACAAATACATGTGCAGCTTTCTTTTTAACTTGAATAACGGTATGTATGTACTAGCCACAGCGCTTGCAGCATATAACACAGATAAAACGTGTGTGTGTGTGTGTGTGTGTGTGTAATATACAATATATAAAAAATATAAAGTATGTTTGCTCACCATTTAGTTCAGCCCTGTTCTTTTGCAGGCAGTAGGTAACACTGAGAAATTTCTTTCTTCTGCACATCTTTTCCTACTAATGTGGATTCCTAGTATTCATAGCTAGTGCCTTTTTTTTCCCCTAAATGCTAGTTAACTAAATAATAGTGATGGAGCCTATTACACAAGGCAAATATACAAGATGAATTGAGAAGTAAAATTTCATGGAGTAAAATCACGTGTAACCATTAGTAAAGTAGCCTAAAGAATTTAAGGTTTGCTAAGTATTACCTGAAATAATTTTACTGTGACTTGAATGAGCAGTAAGTTAGGGCAGTAATTTCATGTTGGCAGGGGGTAAACGATACACAGACGTGTGGCTACTGAAGAGAAAATACAGACTGGTCTGTGTCGAGTGGAAAATGCTAAAAAAGATTTGAAAGAGGAAAAAAAAAGCACCTTTGTGTCAAGGCTGATGCAGAGTGTTTAGGGAGCTTGACCTTGTGGCATAAAGGTAGGGAAGCTTCAACTAAGAAACCAGGGTGGTGCCAGTGCAGCAGGAGATTAATGGAAGGCGCAGTGTGGGAATATTTGGAGTCTGCAGAACAATAAAGCTACTGGAGGACGATGTGCCGGCTCTTCCGTGGGGGATGCTGAGCAGTTCTCTTTTCCAGCTGCTAAAATCTAAGCACTCTGGGTATTACAACAGTCACAAAGATTTGTTTGTAGGTGACCTAGCCATCACTTCTGGGCTTTTTTTTTTTTCCCTCCCTAGATTTTGTGGTTGATGCAACACGCAAGGGCAACAAAATTAGATTTGCAAACCATTCAGTAAATCCCAACTGCTATGCAAAAGGTAAGTTTTAAAATGCCTGAAGAGTGTATTCTAGACAAGTATCCCACAACACTTTATCCGTATTTGTGTTAACCTAAGTTTGAATTTCTTTTAACAGTTATGATGGTTAATGGTGATCACAGAATAGGAATATTTGCTAAAAGAGCCATTCAGACTGGTGAAGAGCTGTTCTTTGACTACAGGTTGGTAGATGGATTTTGTAATTTCTCCCTGTCATAAACTGGATTAGCTTTCAGTATTTCTGCCCAGTTCATAACTACTTAATTACTGTGCCTGCCTCCTTACAACCTCAAGTCTCAGCAGCTGAGCAGCAGGCCCCTTATGTTTTTATTTTATTTTTTTTAAGCCAGATACCCCAGTGAGACTTAACTTGAGCAAAGCAACTACTTAAGAGCCTTGCAAACTTGGTGACAAATGGGGACAGACCTCTATGACTTCTCTGGGCAGACTTATGTATGAAACTTTCAGTATGGGGCATCTCTCCCATCATTCAGCAATGGACAAGAAGTCTTCTCGTGTTACTACAGAGAAGAGCTTGCTAAGATTTCATTTATACTTAAAGAAAACCAAGCTGTCCAGTGACAAAACTGTGTAAGTCAACTTTGAAAAATGCAGTTGCTTTCTGCTGGCTAAAATGAACTCTAGTGAGAGAGATTTAAGCTGAAAAGGTGTGAAATGTTTTAGCATTTTGGTTCTTCTTGGTCAAACTCCTGTAAAAGCCATTTCTTACATGGTCAGCATCAGTCTGCATCTGCAAATTCACACAAAGAATAAAGGCCCCAGCTGGTGAGGAAGCTATGGGAAACAAGTGTGAGAGAGAGTAATCCATGCTGTGCTGTTATATCAGAGCAAAGCTGAAATGGTCAATGGTACTGATCTTTATTTTTGTTTTTATTTTTTTAATTTCAGATATAGCCAAGCTGATGCCCTTAAGTATGTGGGCATTGAAAGAGAAATGGAAATACCTTGACACCAGCTACCTCCTCTTTTAAACAAACAGCTGCCTTATCTTCAGGAATTTCTAGTACTGTGGGCAATTTTAGAATAATAAAAATGCAATTTGAAATTCTGTATTTGCAAAGTACTGTAACAGTAATTTATAGTAACACATTTAAAAAAACCAACTTTTTATTGCCTTCTCACCAGCTGCAAAGTGTTTTGTACCTATGAACTTTTGCAATAATGCGGTGTGGTACATTTTTCAACCTTGAATAAAGGATACTTGAACTTCTTCATTTTAACTGGAACTGAGTTGGAATTTTGTCAGCCAGCTGAGGAAGCAATGTGGACACCTACTCTGACCAAAGGCAACTCCATACTTGTCTTGTTCTGTGACTGTTACTTCAGGTCACATTTAAGATGAGCACAAGGATGTAAAGTGTCTGGGACATCAGCCAGGCTGAGTGGGGGACTTTCAGCACACAGCACCTCAGTACAACAGTTTGCCTAGCACTTTTCATGCACCCTAGGCTTGAAGCTATGTTCACACTTTAAAGCTGTGGTTGCAGTTTAGAAACTCCTACAGTAGCCTCTTGTCACAGCATCAACTACACTTAATTTTTTTAGGGTTTTTATCTGCTTCTTCTAAATCTCAGCAGTCCTTACAGGATCCTAACAAAGGGTCTGCCCTATAGCAAGATCACAGCAGCACAGTCTGCTTCCACACTTGCAAGTACAGCAGGCAGCTGCCATCTTGCTCTGTGGTGGCCTGAGCTCTTTTTTTCTTTGTAAGATGAGGGGTATGAAGTCCAAACTTATTTTCTCACTGCTTGGGTAAAGCCTGGCTCTTGTCTCAGGCTGGAACAACAACAGATGGGTTTTAAAAATAGAGCTCTCTTGCTCTCAAGCATACAAAGCAATGCTGCTTTAACGGGATGGGGTAAAGTGAGGCTTCAGGAACCAGCTCAGAGCAGCTTCCACACATGAGCATCACTGAACCCACTTCTGCCACTGTACCACTGTTAGATCCTGCCACAACCACCTACCAGCACCAACCTGGCTGCAAGAAGGGTTTACAAAAACAGCCACCATCTAAAAAACACACAAACAAAACCAGCACAGAAAGCATCACAAGCTCCATCCTTCTAAATTTCAAACAGCAATTTGAAAATGAAAGAGCACGGTGCTCCTAGTACCTAATGTGCTGGCAGTCCTCAGTGCAATTAACAGATCTTTCAGAATAGCAGCAGCATGCACAATCCCTCATGGGGATGAGGCTTTTCTCCCATTTCCCAAACCAGTTTGGATCACATCTAAGAGCACTGCTCCATAGTTTAAACCCAAACATTTTTACTAAGTCAGTCAGAGCTCAATTGTAGCCATGAAAGATCAGGTTCCCTCAGGAAAAACAGCAGTAACACAAAACCTGGCTTCCTTTCCTTCATGCCGGAACAAACACTGAACAAATCACAAATTCTAAGGAGTGAAAAGAATTAACTTAACCCCCCTTTTTCCATCACAAACAGAAAATAGAAGTTACCAAAGCTGAGAGCTGTCAGGATGGTAGTATTTTGCTTGTAGCATGTAGAAAGCTACTTATTTCACATGTATACAAGGAACACAAAACGTTGCGAGAATAGAATGAAGCCTGGTGTATACTTGCAAGTAACACCCAAAAATATTTTAATTCCCATCACAGGTTGCATTTAATGGGAATTAATCTTTAGGAACACACTCTGTTTTCTAGTCAAAGAAAGGAGCAGCCTCAATCCCATTTACTCAGGGCAGCATTTTATAGCACACCAACCAGCTCCAATTTCAAATGGCCACATACTATAGTTAAGTGTTTTATACTCTGCATACCTTGTGAAATCACAACTTTCTTTTCCTTTCAAAGCACAAACTTTTCCTCTTAAAGAAGTAACATGCATATTTGACCACAGATGACAGTTTCTTCAGAGAAGAGAATGTGCTTCAAATCACCAGAAAGGAGGAAAAGCAAAACAAGTTTCTATAGCTTTCATAACCATTATACCTTTTATTTACATTAAGAAAGATAAGTCATGAAACTTAAAACAATAAAACCAAATGCGACTTGTACAGAAATCTTTTAATTTTTTTTTTTATTTATCACACATTAAAAAATGAAACACACTATACAAATGGTTTTTCATAGCAGATTACACATGGGTCCATTCAGACTCGCTCTCAAAGTGCTGCCAACATTTATAAGTGCTGCCCGTGATAGCAGCTGTTTATCATATAGCCAATGTATTGATTTAAATGCAGTAGCATGCAACCCTTAAAGGAGAAGGGTTTGATTCCTTTCTGTTCTTAAATTAGGTTAAATGGCATTGGTGTCCATATTTACATACTTGAAATGTATCAATCCTGAGCAGTTCTGATGTAAATCTGAGACTGGCTGATGGGAGTCCTGGTCTCGGTTATTAAAAAGGGAGGTCCAAATGGCAGCAGGGTGGCTGCTATGAAGTTCCGTTGCTTTCATTCTTTCCATCACATACCTATTTGCCGAGTGTCACACAGTCAAGTAATTGCTAATAAAAGTGTTAAGCCAAGTAGCTGTAGGTGTCCTTCTCCCCGTCTACGCGTTCCAAGTACTCCTTCTCGATCAGAATGTCGATGCATTTCTGTGGGAGAAACAAGTGTGAACAGAAAAGCCCTCCCTCTGGCTTCTACAAACGGAACCATTTAGGCCACTGAGTTTCATGCCAAGCAGAGGATGGGAGCACGCAGAGGGCACAAACCACGGCAAATCACTCTCCCGTTCCTGACCACATCCAAGACAAGGACTCGCTAAACTGAATTACGCTTTACTTGATGCCATTCCAGGGTAGAGACTGGGAGATCAAATGAGCAACTTCACAGTAAGACAGCAAATAAGGAGTTAAACCAAGGCGCAGAGTGCTGACTGGAACATTACTGAAGGTGGCAGCTCTAGTAAGCAGTTTCATGACTTCACTGGGTGCATCTCTTTCAGCACTGGTGCCAGTTTGTGCAACTGCTCCTCACCATCAGCTTTTTGCCCCATTTACCCCCTTGGTGGTGAATGTAAAAACCATTGGTGGGACTGCTAAACAAACTGGTGACAACAAAGCCCCCCTCCCCAGCATTTGTATTCTAGACCAGGCAACTGTTCCATTAAGCCGGCCCACAAGTAGCGGTACTGCCACAGAGAGCAGGAACAAGAGATAAAGCTGGAAATGTGAAAAAGATGCAATCAAACTACTATTTTACCACTGCCAACACCACAAAACATGCATGTTATCGTAAGAGAAATAATATTTCTTTCTTAGAATATTTCCTACTTACTTACAAATCCATAAATCTGTCCTTACCCATCCCACCTCCTTAGCTCCCCTCTTTAATTGAGCAGCACGTGTATCTGCCTTACCTCCTGGAACAGAGGTTCAGAGATGCGCTTCTCACGTACCTTAATTACTGGAACTCGTGGCTTGAACCTTGAGGACAGCTGTGTTAGCACTTCTCCAAGCAGTTGCTGGTGTTTTAGAACCTTCCTCATTTTCATGATTCTCACAATAGCAGCCTGCACAGCAAAGTCAGAGAGGTGTGCTTAGGAGCAAACTACTGGCCCTTCCAGATACAGCCGTTTTACTTCCCTAGCAGATCACATCTGCTGGCGCAGAAGCATTATCACAGCAAACTCAAGTAGCAGACAGGCAGAAGCATGGCCTGGAAGTGTCAACTGCTCACTGCAGACTTTAAGAACTCAGATTCTGCATAGCATACAGTCATCAGAAGTGGTTCTGACACATGAATTTTAAAAACTACTCTGCTTACGGTCAGTCATAACAACAGTACTGGTACCAAGAGCAACATGAAACTACTTACATAGCAGAAAGCCTTATTTATACACTTAACCTTACTGTGACACTCTTAGTAGCACATTTGTATTTCCTTCCCCTGCCCCTTAGCTTCTCAAGTGGATTCCAAATGAGCTGACAGAAAAATGCAGTGAAGCTTGCACTACCTAGGTATTATGTTTTCACCCAGGACAAAGGTGCAGTGAGTGTGTGCACCCATGGAACCTAAATGCTCACCCACCATGTGTTGTTGGAACAAATGTGAAAAGCAGTGTCCTATCATGCCTTTCTGTATTTTCTGTTACAGACTCCAACTGCCTTTGAAAGTACTGTATGTTTATTTTTAATCCAACACAGTGCACTGCAATGGCACAATGTCTTTTTATAAAAATTAAGAAAAGCCCACAGCAAGCTTCATGAAAGGATTTCAAAGCTGGAGTTCCAAGTTCATAGCATGGCAGCCTTCTCCAACACAAGTCACCTGAATCAGTAGTTTCCTATCTTCCTCTATATTTTTGTGTGTAGTTTCTTGCTCTTGCTTCTGTTCAGTCTTCATTGGCACGTTGATGTTTACCCTTAATTTTTTGCTGGGAAGAAAACCAGAAGAAGTCAGTAAAACAATTAGCCTGGTTAAAAACCTAGCAAATAAACAAACAAACAAAAAACCAACCCTGAACAAAACCCCACTCCTCTCCCATTCATGTAACTGACCATGAATTCTCAAACCTTTAATTATGAGTCAAGGAGGCAAGGAAGCAAGCACATAAAGAGCGAGGCACAAGAAAAGTTTTAAAATGTTTCTTTCACTTGAGATGTTATCTTCTGGAAGTACTGAACTCCTCACTGAATTTATGTGTGTTTACATCTACGCTCTGGTAAGCGTGATAAAGTCACCACAGTACTAGGAACAGCTTAAAATACCCAAACACTGAAAGCAACGCTGGTTAGAGTAGGTAATAAAAACTACTGAAAATTGTGCTTATCACGTTTTCAATCACTTTATGCTCTGAAGTCCCAAAACAAGCCTGGTGATCTTCCCATGTTATCTCTAATGGATGAATTTTAGGACTCTGACCTTTGCAGGTCACTGGACACTAATGTAACCTTATAAAATAGAATGTATTTTGCTAAGTGCACACAAGTCATGCAACCTGGTAAAAACCAGCACAACTTCTTATCAGAAATAAATTATACAAGAATTACACAAGAAACAAGGAACAAAAAGGAGATTTGAAAATAAGTTCAGGCCTTGACAGACTTAATGACATAGTCAGAGAGCTGAAATCTTCCCAATCCTCCCTACCAGCCAACTCTCTCCTTTAAAACCAGTACATTGTGTCTATAATCGAATTGGCGCTTGAACCCTGGAGCTCCCAACCCAGAGGTATTAGGTTGTACATGAATTGTGAAAGCAGAGCAGGAGCATTATGTACAGGTGATACATGCTGCTCAAGTTTTTCCTTACTTTTTATAACCAAGATACAGTTTTATTAAGGTATCCGGTTTTAACTCCACCTCATCAACATTTGCATTTTCATCTTCCAAAACCTGCAAGAAATAAATAAAATAAGCAAATAAATATTCATCAACACATTTTGCTGAATGTTAAGAAGGCCATAAAAAAGCAAAAGTACTTACAAGCAACTTTGATTTCAACAGTATCTGTAGAACTTGTGCCAATATATCCTACAAAGTTACAGAAAATATTATCAGTGCAGACAGACAGCACCTTTTGTCCGACTTAAAATACTTCAACAAGAATACACAGATTTAGACTAAGAACTCAGGAGTACAGAACACTGTAAAATGGGTGGGGAAAAAAGGCAGTAAAAACGTACTTCACAGAAATAAAATACAGTAAGGCTCTTTCTGGGTGTTAGGACATATTCCCCTTACAGTCAGTCAAATAACATCAAATTCTTTAGAAAGACAAATCCTGAACAACAAATCTTTCCAATTGCTGTTTTAGGAGCTATTTTGCAAGCAGATTCATAAGCATCAGTAATATTTTTTTCCCAGACCATGCAAATGTAGATACCATGGCAGGCTTAAGCCTCAGAAACCAAGCACCTTCTGCTTTCTGATTAACAAACTTCTATTTTCTTGCTTACACCAGGGATCTGCTCTGGTTACCGTCACTGGTCACTCACCCAGATGGCTATGCTACCGTCAGTGTTCTGGGCAGGCTTGCAAAGCTGCTATTTTAACACAGTGGAAGTTGTCTGGGCTTCATGCAGGTAAGTTTTCAGCTCTATAAAGAGTTTTATTCTGGTCCAGACCTAATTTAGGCCAAGTATTTATTTTGTAATATTGGGCAAAATATTTATTATA